ATGCCTCCACTGTGGGTTCACCAGGGGTCACAGTGCACTGGAATGCCTCCACTGTTTCTGATCAGAACTCTGGGCGGTCTCACTCGCCTCTTCAGAAACTCACTCACTGAGAGTTCAGTTCCTGACCTGTAACATGAGGGGCCTGCTTGTTGGGGTTTCTGTCCTACCCAGTTCCCACAGCTTTCTCTGCGGGGCAGGTCACATCCTGCTTCTTCCATGATCTGGGCAGGACTCCCAGCTAAGCTCTCCTCTACCCAGAATATTCCTGTTCTCATGGCCCCACCTCTACTTCCTGTCTGGTTTTCCCGCCTATACTTCCTGCCTGGCTATCAGCCAATCAATGTTTATTAAAGATATGATTGACAAAATACAGACACTTCTCCTGCACCACTGGATTAAAGGCGTGCGCCAACACCTCGTGTCTGTATTCTATCAATCATACCTTTTGGGGGAGCAAAGGAGCAAAGGAGAAGGGAGAGGAGGGAAGGAAGAACATGGTGGCACAAGCCTGTAATCCTTGCACTTATGAAAAGAATCGTGAGTTTGGGACCAACCTAGGCTACATAACAAGACCCCACCTCAAAAGAACAAGCAAAACAAGAGCAACATGTGGGAGCATGTGCCTAGAATCCCAGCACTCAGAAGGCAGAGGCAGGCCAACCTATACAGAGCAAGTTCTAAATTATGGGATTACATGGTAAGAACCTGTGGAAAGAAGAAAGGGAGGGAGGGAGGGACAATTAAGAGGACTGAGCTTCACGTGTCCCTATTTCTGTTAGTCATGGGTGTGCAGCCATGAGGGAGCTAAAGCTGTCTGGAGCAGCTCCTTTACAGCATCAGACTGCCCAGCCCTCTGAAGGGGACAGACAGGCCCCACAGCTCACCTTTCTCTGCTGTCTCTCAAACACCAGCACAAGAGTCAGGGTCAGGCTGACAGCAATCAGGGTGGCAAGCAGCACTCCTACCCACTGGCTGCCCAGGACAAACATCTGGCTGGTGGAGTAGATGTTGGCCCACACCACCACATAGAATACCTGTAGAAGACACAGGAAGGCACGGAGCTGTCAGGGACAGGAGCGCCACTCATGGGTACCCCTTTGGAGACCCCCAGCCCCAACTGGCCAAACAGCCTCCCAGGGCCAGGGAGGATTCACATCAACCCTGGGACTGAGCTCCTGCTCCCTGCTTATTAAGTGAACCATGACAACAGGCTGTAACCGGCCTAGCAGAAATGTATTCTAGAGACACTTGTGTCTCTCAATCTGATTATCAGGCTGTTGAAACTACGGACCCCAAGGAAATGGGAATTCTGCTAGGAATCTCATGCTGGGAAATGGCACCAGAGGAGACCTGTCTCCCAGAAAGAGATTTTACACAGCTCACCACAGTTTCTCAGACCACCTCACAGGATGAGACTGAGACCCAGATAAAGATGAGCCAGTGGTGGGAGGGGCCATATCGTGACGAACTGCTCAGAGGTTCATGGCCTTGGCTATCTACTTCAACTTTGCTCTCCCTTCAGGACCTCTGGGGTGTTTGCCAGATCTCCCCGTCACTTCCCACTTTCCACTGTGGCCATATTGGATGAGCCTCCTTTTCTCCACCCCACTTTCCGTATAGTTCCTTTAGCTGGCCTACTGAAGACAGGTGGTTACAACTGACTTGGGGTAAAGTGTGAGCACTCAAGTTTGAGCCCCTCACTCCTAAACCCTCCTGACCGACCCCAATTCTAGATGAAACACAAAAGGGCAGGGCTGGAAAGAATTCTATATCTAACCCCTTGTGGTATACCTTTATCTTTGCTACCGCATGGTCTGGGACAAGCTATGACCTCTCCAAGACTGGGTTTCTCCACCTGTGAACTGGGAATAATCACGCTTTCTTCACAGGACTTTCCCAGGACTAGCAGGGTAACATTTCAAAGTCCAGTATTTGTTAGGGGGTTGTTAAATGCTAGTCCCCTCCTTTCTTTCTCCCCTGAAATGGGAGGCAGGGTCAGCTAGGCCATAAACACATACAGAAGCCAGAAAACAGAATAGCTAAGGGTTCAACTATATAGCCTGGGTTCACACACTGCTTAGCCACATATGTACATGTTTCTGTGTGTGGATATGTATTCACAGGTATATGTTTGCAAGCATATGCACATACAGGTAGGTAGGTACATGCATGCATTTGTGTGTGTGTGCATTCTATGAACACAGGAAGCATACCGACCTGTGAACAAAAGGAAACCAAGTCCCAGGGAGAAAAGCCTTGGCCAAGGTTAAACACTGACTCGGAAGCCTGGCTCCCAGTCCCTACTCCCATCCCTATTGACCCCTTCTACAGCAAATCCACATCTTTGCCACGGGGCTTTCAAAGGCAACTTGGATCCCTGAACATACTGCTGCATCTGGTGTGCCTGAGGCCGAGGAGGAAGGCAGTGTGGGCCTAAGCTACTACTCACCACAGCAAAGGCCAGCCGCATGGGCCTCGAGTTGTAGATGATGTACCTCCTCACCTGAGGCTCCAAGAGAGCGCTCTCAGCCAGGCTCCTGTATTGTTCAGCAGGTACCTATGTTACCCAAGATAAAGAGATCATCAGTTACAGGACAGCCACTCCCATCTCCTTCCTGCCAGCAAGTAAGGCATTCCCAGTTCACAGGACTGCCCGTGGGAGGAAGGGAAGGCAAATTCAAGGCACCATGGAAGGCAGCAAGGGAGGTTCTGAGAGTAGATTGGGAATCCTGGGTTCAGTCTAACTGCAGGAGCCTGAGAATGAGGGCATCCTGCAGAGGAGCCACACAGCCTGAGTCTCAGTACCTTCCAAGAAACATAGGCAGTCTTGGGCAAGACACAGGCCCTGGGCCAAACTCCGGTCACGTCATTCAAGGGCTGGGTGACTTGGGTCAAGTGAACCCTTCTCTGAACCTTGGGTTCCTCCTCTCTAAAATGAGGGAGAGATGGATGCACTGTGGGGCTGGGTGCATGTTCAGTGGGGCAGTGCACAAGGGAACTGGGCAGAGTGAGAGTCACCCAGAGCCAGCCTCTCACTGCTGGCATTTTACACTCCACACACAATCCCAAACACTGAGGGCACATGTCTTCCTGTCCAAACCAGAGTGTTTGCAGAGCACGCCAGCCACTTAAGAATTACATCTTGGCATGGGACCTCTCAAGGACTCTGGAGTAAGGGAGCCTGCCAGTAAATGATGCAAGCCTGATGACCCAAGGTCATCCCCCAGAATCTAGAGAAAGGTAGAAGGAAAGAACAGGTGTCACAAAGTTGTCCTGACTTCCACACACGCACCCTGGCACACACATACATGCACCATCCACCTACATACACATGTTAACATCATTATAAATACATTCTTTTTCCAAGTGGAAAATATGTCATCCAAGAACACAGTGCAACAATATACACACAAACTCTCTTCACTAATCTCAAGATAATAACTTTGGAAAGATTTGGGGTTTGAGGAGATGATCAGTAGGTAAATCTGCTGCACAAGCCTGAGGACTTGAGTTTCGATTCCTAGCACCGTGTTAAATAGCTGGGTGCCTTGGCAAAATCCCTGGCACCCAGTCTAGGTGGATCAGTCGGCTCCACATTCAGCAACAGACCCTGTGTCAATAAACAAGGTATAGAGTAAACCATACATTGACCTCTGACCTGCACATGCATATACATATGAACACATACACATGCTACACCACACAAGGAAGGAAGGAAGGAAAGAAGGAAGGAAGAAAGGAGAGAGTAAGGGAGGGAGGGAGGGAGGGAGGGAGTTAGGAAAGAAGGAAGGAAGGAAGGAAGGAAGAAGGGAGGGAGGGAGGGAGGGAAGAAAGGAGAGAGGGAGGGAGGGAGGGAAGGAGCTAGGAAGGAAGGAAGGAAGGAAGGAAGGAAGGAAGGAAGGAAGGAAGGAAGGAAAGCAGGTAGAGGGAGAAGAAAATGAGAAGGGGGAAGTTCTACACAAAAATGGGATGAAAACGTGGAAGGCAAAGGCAAACCATTCAGAGCAGGGAAGGCTCAGTGCTGTCTGCAAAGTCTTCCTTCGGGGTACTGAGCTGCCTGTACCCCTGGCTGTGATCAGTCCCTCCTGGCTAGTCCAGGGAAGACCTCACCTTGAGGGCTCTGTGGAGGAGACCACACCGTTGTCCTTCACAACAACAGCAAGTGAGAGCCTGCTATGTTCCAGAACATCTACAAATGTGCTTGGCGTCACACACGTAATCCTAATGGAAGCCCTACACACCAGGCCTTAACATCACCCTTTCTTACAGACAAAAGTGAAGACCAGAGAGGCTAAGTCTCCTGCCTGAAGTCACACAGACAGTGTGGAGCAAGCCTGGGTCCATATCCACACAGCGGGTCTGTGAAGCGCAGGCCTGGATTCACTGTTTGAAGGTATCATTATGTGGTAGCTCCAGGAACCGTCACAACAGTTCCCTCCGAACAGTCTTTCTCCTGCCCAGTATTCCTAATATAACCCTCAACAACCCTGTCAGGGTCTAGCCTTCCACGAAGCTTTCCTCCTATGCCGTCAGTACCTGGCATGGTCCTCTACTGTGGCATCCATGCCTGGCTGACCTTGCTTACTGGTCCATGTCTAGCTCCAGCACTGGGTCCTGGTCACCTGTGCATAGCTCAGTCAGCTCAAGGCCTGGACAGAACCCCAAGACACACATTCTGAGTGAACACGCTGGGAAGGAAAGATATCTCTAATACCCTTTCCTATGCGCCTGACCACAGCCAGCACAGGTAAAGGTACAGGGAATGTGTGTGAAGAGCCCGACGGGTGGGCACACAGCCAGGTGGACAGAAAGACTCAATCAGCCAGCACTCACCTGGATGCCCCAGGCCTGCAGTTGCTCTTCTACAGCACTCAGGTCCAAGGAGACGGGTGCACAGGTATTGTCGATCCGGAGGACTGTGAGGACCTGGCCATTGTGCAGCTCTGCAAGCAGATCAGAGGATCATGGACCAAGCAAGAGCACCTCTGGAGGAGCTCAGAACTGAAGGCATCACACCTCCTCATGATGAGGAACACGGTAGCCGTCCTGCAAGCCTAAGGAGGTAGCTTGACTGGGAAGTCCCCGGGAGGCAAAAGTAAGACCCACACTGGTTAACTATATAATTTATAACTTCCCAAAGCAGAAAGACATCAAGCAAAGAGTGGGTGGTATTGAGTCCCTGTCACAAGGCTGGAAACAGGCTGAAAAACACCAGGGGCCTGATGTTTGGGCAAACCCTGAACACGAAGTCCAACTGAAGAATTTAAATCCCAGCAATGAGCCAAATATCAGATCTAAATAGTTACCATGAAACATCAGCCCCAGATGGCCACACCTGCATCCCAGACTGCTACCAGAGCAAAGAGGAACAAACACTGCAGATGGAATGCAGGGCGCGGATCAGCTGGCCGTAGCAGGAACCGCAGCTTGCAGTACCCAGTGGGGCTGGTGGAATCACAATGGCCCTTAAGAGGAGGCAGGTCACCAGAGCTACACCATTGTAGCTTTGAGCACGGGAGGAGGAGTCACAAGCTAAGCACTGTGGGTAGTCTGTACCACTGGGAAGAGGAAGAGAAAGGACACAGAGCCTTGCCCTGCCAATGCCTCAGTCTGCACACATAGAGAATGGGTATACGCGTGTGTAATTGTTCAGACTGAGCCCTTCCTTTACGCCATGCTTCCATGCTGGTCTGCTCATCATAAAATTGCCTGAGCTGGTTTAGTGCCTTGCATACATGTTTGGCACATAAGTGAGTTAGTATGATAGGACTCTGATCCTCAACCTTGATAGGTTTCTCACAGTCTGGATCAGGAAGGAACAGCACTCCCACTCTTAAAGATTCCATCATGGAATTCTAAACTCTAGGTCCTCTCCATAAGAACTCTCGATTTTGCCCTCCCCCTTACTTTTTGAAAGGAGTGCAGTACATGGATAAAATACAGGGGAAACCTTGAGGGATCACACTGTGACCCCGTCTATTACTAACAAGGTGAAAGTGTAGGAGAAATTATTTCCTTACCTACACAGCCAACATGGAAGACTGTGAGCCATTCCGAGGACAGCCTGATGTCACCTCAGTGTGTGAATTACTGACCCCAGTGGGATCATAACTTGGAAACAAGCTGTTCAGAACTCAGAAGTCCTGATAAGACAACACTAATATATCTTTTATGCCCCACCTCCCATCTTGATGAAAGTATTACATTAAACTGAAGACTACTCAAATGGAAAGGGAGAGACAGAAAAGAAACCAGAGCAGCTAATTCGACCCCTACTGGAGAACTAGGGCCCCTGGAGAGCAGAGTCTACACAGCTGACCTGGGGGGACGGAGATGGAACAAACAAAAGGAAGAGGTGGTGCCCAAACACAGCCACCATCCCATAATGTCTCCCACTGGTGCCCTCGGGGATGAGCCTCCCCGAGAAGAGTCTGGAACCTTCAGACAGCTACACCCTGGGCTACACGCATTTGCCCAAACCCTACAAAGACCTTTCACTGAGTCTCTTATTTACCTTTCTACTAGGAGTTCCTGGATTCTTGGCAATATGAGTTCTGCACTTGGAAATGCTTGCTTCTAGACCTAAGCTAAGTAAAGCTGAGAGAGAGAGAGAGAGAGAGAGAGAGAGAGAGAGAGAGAGAGAGAGAATGTACAAAGCAGGAAGAGGGAGCTTACTAAAATTCAGCAGAGGGATGGATCCCTTTCAAGTCTTGAAGAAAAAAAATACTTCATCCTGTTCCTTTCTACTACAGCATGGATAGATGTTTAAATTGCTTTATAACAATTAATAGCACGGTCATACAGCGTTTTTGAACAGAGTTTCAGGCCCACTACTAAGCCCCGCACTTCTATGGAACACCCACAGTTTATAGTGCTGTTTTTCCTTGCTACACCCAGCTGCCATCCATCCCTGCATTCAGCACAATGAATGGAGCAGGCCTCCTGCTGGCTCTGCAGACATGGGAAGGGTGAGACAGTACCCAGCCCTACCCTCCCTGAACTTCCATTATGGTGGGGAGGCTGGACACTCAATATTTATCACATAGATAATTGGTATACTAAATAAATTGTGCAGGAAGAATACATCAGAAAATCCCAACTAAGGCTAAGCCATCAAATAATTTGTCATGGGAAGGAAGGATGAACTGAGACCCAAAGGATGGATGGTAACCAAGTACCAAAAAGGCATGGGTGGAAAGAACATCATGTACAAAGGTCCTGAGACAGAATGCCCTGGCAAAGAACAGCGAACAGGGCAGCAGGCAGAGCTATGGCTGGCCTGGGGAATGATGGGACTTCACAACATGCCCATGGTAGGCCAGGGACAGAACGTGCCAGCAGGCTGCACATCTAAAAAAGGTTGTCTAGTGGGAAGGAAAGGTGGTGACAAGAGGTGGTGGCACTGAGAACAGGCTAGAAATGACAGAAAGTGGCCTGGAGCTGAATCCCAAAGACACCCAGTTATCCAGAGACCCCAGTTATAGGTGTGAGTTCAGCACAGAATGGGACGCAGTGAGAAGGAGATCATGGGGTAGGGGTCATGGCCTTACCTGGACCCCAGTCAGGAGGGCTCCTTTGAGGCAGGGTGCTGCAGCCCAGGATGGAGGTGGGCAGGGGACCAGCTGTCCCACCAGGGTCTGTGGGAGGCTCACAGGCCATGGCAAAGAGGCAGCTGCTCCCGCTTCTACTTCCTGTTTCTGAGCGTACAGTTCATGCTGGGGCAGTGTCTCACCTCCACTTGCCTATGAAAAACAGCACAAGAAAGAAGGTGAGCTGGGCTCCCTGGCCTTCCCTGGGGCCAGAGTTGAAGGCCAGGGATGGCCACCAGGAGTCTAAATGCTGACTTTTCTATCCTACTGAGGAAATTCTTTCTCAGAATGAGAAGAGGGAACTAAACCCTTCCCCAGGCCTCAGCGGAGAATTCCCCTTCCAGCTGTGGGTCTTCTCAACCACACCAGGTCCCAATCATTTCTTCCTGAGACGCCCAGGTAAGCGAGACAGAGGCAGGTATCACATTCATTATGGGGAGGCTATTTCTATACAGCTTCCTACAAGGCACTGCAAGTTGCATAAAATGAAACCAGAGGACACAGGAATAATAAACAGGAAACACAGATTGCAGGCAGAGCCCTGACAAGCACGAAGAGCAGAACCAGCCAGACAGTTAGGCTACATTCCAGTTCCTTAAAGGGGCGAGGTCCATGTTCAGGGTTCACAGTGGTCCCGCCACCTCCTATTTCTATTTGTATAACCTTGGATGTGTGGTTTAACCTCAGAGCTTCAAATAGGCTTCTCCAGATCTAGCAGCCCTCCCCCAACAGGCCCACTACAAGGAATCAGTGGACATTACACAGGAAGGCCATGGGGGACAAAGATCATACTCCACGACTAGGAACTCTTTTAACCCTTCAATACCAGCACTCTTGAGGCAGAAGCAGACAGATTTATGTGAGTTCAGCAGCCTGATCTACATAACCCCAGCACTGAAGGGTACACGGGGGAAGAGGCAATGGGATGAAAAAGTTTAGGGCAAGCCCGGGCTACACAGTCAGCTTCAGACGGGGGTAGGCTACCGCAAAGCCCTGCCTCATCAGAAAGACAGACAGCAGTCCTGGTGTGACTGTTTACACACAGCTGCGGTGACCGGGGCAAGGGTTGGGTCGCTGGGGCTTTCAGATGGCCAGGCCAACACACACACATTGTATCTGAGAAAAGCCTATAAGAAGAGTAAGCTCTGGCGTCGCAGCTCCCTCCGAAGGATAAGGAAGACATGGCCAGGGCCTCCAGCATGGCCCAGAGGCACAGCGGGCACCACCGTTAGCCACTTTCATCAGTCAAAGCAGGGATGCTCCATGCCAGGGCTCCCTTGGTGACTTCTTGGGTCACCAATCTGCTGCAACCTGTGCCCTGTGTCCCCAGAAAATCATGTTCCACCCAAATACCCAAGAGTGGCACACTGATCCTGAGTGTCTGGAGGGCGGTCCTTTGCTCCCAAGGAAGGTGACACTGAACTGACCCCAAGGCCCACCCGCTGACCTCTACTGGGAGAAACTGATCCTTCTGTCCCCTTCACTGTTCATCTTCATGCTTCAACAGGAGCAGCTGCAGAGGTGAGGGATGCCCTGTGGAATGAAAATGGGGGGCCTTCCTGTTAGGAAGGTCAGGGAGTCCCGGGGTCAGGGAGGCGACTCCGTAGCTAGTAGCACTTGCCTCACAAGCCTGACGACCTGAGTTAACCCAGGTGCCCACATAAAAGCCGGATGATGTGGCAGGCATGTCTGCAACCGCAGTGTTCCTATGGTGATGGGAGGCAGAGGTAGCACAAGAGGAGAGAGCCTGCTGGGCTGGACAAGTGGCCCAGAGTGAAGAGCCCCTGATGTCCTTACAGAGGACCAGGGTCAGTTCCCAGCACCCACACAGTGGCTCACAGCCACCCATGACTCCAGTTCCAGGGAACCCACAAGGGTAATAGGCACACACAGTATAGACATACAAACAGGCAAAACACATAGGTAATACATCAATAATTTATTATAAATATTAAATATATGTTTTCATTCATTTAGAAATATTATAAATATAAATAAGTCTATTATTATAATAATAAATAAAACTAAAAGGAGAAATACAGACAGACCCTGCCTCAAAAAGGTAGAAGGCAACAACCTACACTCAAAAATTGTACCCTGACCTCTGCATTCATGCTGTGGCGTGTGCACACACACACTCACACAAACACACATACAAGAAGAAATTCAGATGGTGACAGCATAACAAAGCCAAACTGTAGGGAAAGACAGCTTTGGATGAGGGGGCCCATATACCTGAAGGTAGCTCTAGAATAGTGGTTCTCAACCTGTGGGTCATGGCCCCCAAAAGACCACTGGAAAACAGACATATTTACATTATAATTCATAATAGTAGCAAAATCACAATTATGAATTAACAACAAAAACAGTTTTATGGTTGGGTGGTCACCACAACATGAGGAACTGTACTAAAGGGTTGTAGCTTTAGGAAGGGTGAGTCTACATGGTTCCTTAGGAGCCTCTCTACCAATGAAAAACAGATAAAAGACAAATGTTACCAAGCTGGGAGCGTAAGGCCAAACAGTAACAAAACATTAGGAAAATACATGACCGCTTTGGAGCCAAAGTCTGGCGGGATCGATGCAGTCACCTTCAACACCCGCCCATCCCCCGGTCTGAACTCTGCTGTGAGCATCTGTGCAATGGGCAGGGAGGCCTGCTTCATTTGGCTGCTTCAGGATGAGCATGGTGTTCAGTGCTCTGCCCACAGGGTCCTTCCTTTCCTATTTCACGGCCAAGACATACCTCTCCCCAACTGAGTGGCAGAGAAGGATCCCCATGTGTCTCCAGTGTCAGGCCACAGTACCATGCCCTCAGGCTTCTGGGCCTGCTCTGGTTTCCTTCAGCTTACCCACAAAGACACCTTTGAGTAGATCCAAAGAAACCATGTTTCTCAGCATGATATAGAAATAAATTCCAGCTACCCTGCAATGCTCTTCACGGGAAGACGGGGTCTCGTCTCTGCCCACCGTCCACCCGGCCCACAACAGCAGTCACACACTAGGTACTTACCAGCCAACCTCACCGTGCCTGTTTTCTTTCTTATACCCCCAAGAGGTGCAAAAGCCACAAAAGCAGCCACAAGGTAGCGCCCAGAGTTGACACCCCTTTGCTTCCTCTGATCAACTACTGGACCATAAGGCAGACACAACCTTATCTGTCGTCCAGGCAGAGGACTGGGGCCACACTTGAGCCTCACACCATTGGAGTGCTGAAAAGGCCAGGAGGAGCTGACACCAGCAGGAGTTGAAGCCTGGGACTGCACAGAAGGATCCACTGGTTGCAAAATCCCACAATGAAGCATTGTGTTGGGGGCAGAAATCACAGCACCCACAGCACCCCTCAGCTGCCCACAGAGACCCAATCAGCAGACTCCAGTCATACGCTTGCCACACACCCACGGCTGCGTGGGCTGGCTGGAAGCAACCTGTCCAGTCCAACCACTTCCCACCTTGGTGGTCTTGAGCAAGGCACCCGACTTCTCTCTGCCTCCATTTCCTGGAGCAGGGACCAGGAGAGTAATTTAGGGTTACTCTGTGGTTCCCTGTTCACAAGATCTACCCTTGGAAGAAGAGCGCTTACTGAGCAAAGGCAGCTGACATCGACCACAAGCATTCCTTGAGAACCTTCTAGGGCCAGACCTGGACTGTAAAACCAGGAATGCAACACGAAGAATCTGCTCAGTTCTCCCTTCAGGGATCACCATCCACTGGGAAAGGCACGCGCCAAGAGAACTGCCAGAAAGATGAAGAGGCAATCAGGCAGCAAAGGGGTGCAACTTGGGAGAAAGAGCAACTCCCCAGGCTGCCTAGACGTTCCTAGGCTTCACCAAAGTGGAAAGAAGCCGTGTCAAATTTGAATGTGTTCAGACCTAGAGGTCGGGATGGCTCCCTCTGTAGATCCTCATCCAGTCCAGAGCCTACAGGGCCATGAGGATGAAGGCAGAACCCCAAGGGCAGATGCTGACCATTTACCATCCCCTCAGCCCTGCTCCAGGCTTCAGTACACAAGTCAGGGGAGCCGGATGCAAGGGTAAGCAGAGCTCAGAACGAGCAAGCACCTAGACTCCTGACAGTCCCTTAGGGAATCCACATTTCAACCAGATTTTCCAGGCTGTGCAGACTCAAGCTCCCTGGTGTCCCATCGCTGCACCGTGCCTGCCAGCCTCACCAACAACTAACTGCCTGCCCAGGCTGCCCTGAAAGGAAAGAGAAAGCGGCTTTCCTTCTTCAAATTCAGCTTCATTACACTTCAAGTCCAACAGATCAGAGGGGCAAGTCCCAAAAGTTTAGGACAGAAAAAGCCTGGCTAAACAAGGAATCCAAACTACCCATTTCAATGATGTGGACATTAAGCCCCGGAAGAGAAAGGTGACTGACTATCCAAGGTCAGGGAGCAAAAACCCAGAGGGAGCCAGAACAGAAAGGCGGCTTAGCGCGGCCCGGCGTCTCCCGTCGTACCTGGCCTTGGCCTTGGGCAGCTGGCTCCCTGGTCTGCCCTCTGGCCTTGGGGCTCCCTCACCCCAGAAATCATTCGCCCTACCCCGCGGCTCCCACGCCTGACGCGTGGGGCGGGAACAAGTCACCCGAGCCTTAGCGGCGGAACGCGCACGCAAGCGCCGCGTCCCCAACCCCCGGAGGGCGGGCGTACGGGCGCGCGCACGGCACTCACCGCAGCCCGGGGACGCGCAGG